GACCTCGTCTCTACAATAAATCAAAAATTAGCTGGGCATGGTAGAGCACGCCTGTAGTTCCAGCTGCTTGGAAGGCTGAGGCGGAAGGATCGCCGGAGCCCAGCAGGTCAAGGCTGTGATGACCGGGAGTGGCCACTGCACTTCAGTCTGGGTGACAGAGTGAGACTCCAACTCAAAAAAGAAGAAAAAGCAATTTAAACATACCCTCCTTATTTAGGCTTGAGTCTCATAAGAGTGAATACTCCTTTGTTTACTATTTTGAATGGTCTGCCATTTGAATGTGCCATGGTAAGTGTCACTTTTTCAGTGTCACTTTTTCTAAAAATGGGTAGTGGAGCTAAGTATGGTGGCTCACAGTTAACAATCCCAGCATTTTGGGAGTCCAGGGTAGAAGGATCACTTGAGCTAGAAGTTCTAGACCAGCCTAAGCAACATAGCAAGACCCCAACTCTACCCCAAAAAAATGTAGTGCAGTCATAGCTCACTGCAGCCTAGAGCTTCTGTCTTCAAGCAATCCTCCTGTCTTGGCCTCCCAAAGCACTGAGTTTACAGGCATGAATCGTCATGCCTGGCTAGATTTTTACTTTTTTTTGAGTCAGAATCTTACTGTGTCACCCAGGCTGGAATACAGCAGCCTCGACCTATTAGGCTGCCTTCCAAGTGGCCAGAACTACAGGAGCACACCCAGCTAATTTTTTCTTTTCTTTTTTTTTTAATTGTAGAGTTGGAGGTCTCACCAAATTGCCCAGGCTTGTCTTGAATCCCTGGGTTTAGGCAGTTCTCTTGCCTCTGCCTCCCAGAGTACTAAGATTACAGGTGTCAGCCACCAGGCTGGGCTCTCCACAAAAAAAAATTTTTTAATTAGCGAGGTGTGGTCCTAGTTACTTGGGAGGCTGAGGCAGGAGGATCGCTTGATTGAGCCCCCAGGAGTTTGAGGTTGCAGTAAGCTATAGCCTGCCACTGCACTTCAACATGGTTGACAGAGTGAGATATTGTCTCAAGAAGAAAAGTGGGTAGTAGGATTAACCTTGTACTCTTATGGTTCTTTGTTTTTCCTATCACAGGTAGAGTTGGCCTTGTGGGACACAGCTGGGCAGGAAGATTATGATCGTCTGAGGCCGCTCTCCTACCCAGATACCGATGTTATATTGATGTGTTTCTCCATCGACAGCCCTGATAGTTTAGGTGAGTGGCCCTTACAGTCTGTTTATTATTGCCTGGGTACATGGCTGACATCAGTTTCTCAGAGCATATATTTTCTGGGCATCAAGTGGCCGAAAATCAGGTATGAGCTTCAGAGGAGAAGTCATCAGTGGCCAGAGTCCTGGACCCTTGGACTATCATGCATTAGCCCTGGGGTCCCTTTTCATCCTAGGTCTCCTATGGCTACCATATTCCCTTTTCATCCTAGGTCTCCTATGGCTACCAGTTGCAAGATGCAGTGGTTCACACCTATAATCATATCACTTTGGGAGGCCAAGATAGGAGTATCACTTGAGGCTAGAAGTTCAAGTCCAGCTTGGACAACATAGACTTGAGGTGTAAAAAGTTAATTATTTTTAGGTTATGCGTGGTGGCTCACGCCTATAATCCCAGCACTTTGGGAGGCCTGAGCCTGTGGCAAGAGGACTGACTAAGCCCATGGGTTCAAGACCAGCCTGGGTAACATTGTGAGACCTCGTCTCTAAAATAAATTTTTTAAAAATTAGCTGGGCATGGTAGCATGCAACTGTAGTTCCAGCTACTTGGAAGACTAGATGGAAGGATCACCTGAGCCTAGCAGGTGGAGGCTGCGGTGGCTGGGACCTTGCCGCTGCACTCCAGCCTGGGTGACTGAGTGAGACTCCAACTCAAAAAACAAACAAACAAAAAAGTACGTGGCTCCCAAATACAAAGCCATCTCTTGGACTAAGATTTGGTGAAGACTTCTTTTATTTGCCTGTATATTTTATCAGTACTTCATATTTAACCTGCTGTCTCCCAAACATCTAGACTGGTAATTTGCTGTTTCCCAGCAGTGGTGTTTGTTTTTTGTTTTGTTTCATTTGGAGTTGGAGTCTCACTCTGTCACCCAGGCGGGAGTACAGTGGCATGCTCATGGCCACCCCAGTGTTGGCTTGCTGGTCTCTGGTGATCCTTCTGCCTCAGCCTTCCAAGTATCCGGCACTATAGGTGTGCACTACCACAACCGGCTAGTTTTTTATTTAATGTAGAAATGAAGTCTCTCCAAGTTGCCCGGGCTGGTCTCAAACCTGTGGGCTCAGGCAATCCACTTGCCTTGGCCTCCCAAAGTGCTGGGATTACAGGCTGAGCCACTGAACC